AGCTGAAAGCATAAATAAGGACCAAAATGTATAATAGATATTGTGAAACAGGAAAGAGCAACTACAAAGGGGTAGGGGAAGAGCAAGGGAGGGAAAAGAAAACAATGAAAAAGAAGAAGAAAATGGAAACAAAGCTTTGTAAACGAGGAGAAGAGAGGTTGAAGGGAAGGGAGGGGAACCGGATAAAATGAATCAATATGCATCATGTGCGGGTATAATTTCTATACGATGAATGTGATCATTATGTATATCTAAGCTGTACCAATAAAATTCTTAAAAAATAAAATATTGATAAGCTTCTAAAGAGTTTGAGAAAGAAAAAGGAGATGCAAATTTTCAGTAGAGGAAAAGAAATAACTGAGATCACCACAGGCTTCGTGGACATAATGCTGTGAACAGCTCCCTGCCCACACGTTCAACAACTCCACACAGACTGCGCCAAAACAACGATCAAACTCATCCAAGGTGAAACAGAGAAAGCGAACAGTCCTGTAACTATTTAAAAATTGCATTTAAAAGTTAAAAACTTTTCCCCGCCTTGTGCCAGGGATTTAGCTCAGTGGCACCGCAACTGCCTCACAAACACAAGGTCTTGAGTTCGATCCCAGGTACGGAAAAAAAATCCACATACCTTTCCCCTCCAAAATTTGCAGGCCCACAAGACTGTACTGGAAAATGCTACCAAGTATTTAAGGAAGAAATAATGCCAACTCTGCTTGATTTCTATCAGAAATTAGAGCTCATTTTAAAAATAAATGGCATTATCTGATACAAAAACTAGACTGACCATACAAGAAAAGAAAGCTAAAAACCAACAGGTCTGACTAACAGGCACAAAAATCCTTCATAAAATATTGGAAATTTCTAATACTTTAAACAAAAGAGTTTCTTTCTTTCTTTTTTTTTTTAATGAGTAATACACCACGACCAGGGCTTTGTCCTGGAAACTGAGGCCCCATGCAAATGGATTTTCAGTTATCATCAATTCACTGTATTGATCCACAAGTCAAAAGGATTTGACCAAACTCGACTGCCACTCATAATAAATACTCACAAGGACAGAGGCGTCCACAGCAAACACTCTGCAACTCACGTACTACTTCAGGGTACAAGAGTGAACGCTTTTTCCCTAAGATCAACAGCCAGGGGAAGTTGTTCACAATTCTCATTCTGACTCACATCATGCCAGGCAATTGTCCCAGCCAGAGCCACAGGTTAGATGTCCAACAGGAGGAGGGTGGGACTGGGAAAAGAAGAAATAGAATTGTCCTTATTCACAGACAACATGATTGTTGATGTAGGAAATCTTAAAAGTACAAAAGAAAAATCACTTCTAGAGCTATGAAGAGAATTTAGTGAACTCGAATAACCCACTGTTAACACCTCCCAAAATGTATCATAGTCCTATAGGTTAGGCATATAAAACCAGAAGTCAAAATGTAAAAGATAATGCCATTTACAGTGGCTTAAACATAGAGGGTGGCCAGGTGTGGTGGCACACACTTTAATCCCAGCACCCTGGGAAGCTGAGGCAGGAAGATGGCAAGTTTGAGGCCAGCCTGAGCAACTTAATGACTTATTGAGAACCTGTCCCCAAATTTTAAAAACTTAACAATGGTCAAGAGAAGTTGCTCTGTACAAAAGTGCTGTGTTCAGTCCCCGGTATCACAAATTATCAGAGACCTGCACAGCAGGTTCCAATCTCCTGCCCAGTGCTACAGTGCATGGTGAAAGGAAAGATTTACAGAGTTAAAGAGACAAAGATACAGGGAGCCAGAATGACCAGTGCTCATGCGAGACAGGTTGAACAAGTAAACTCCCTGAATACCCAGAGCTGTCGGTATTTATTGGTGACATCATAGTTAGAGGTAAAGGGGCTCTGTGAGGGGACATGGAGTTGCTATGTACACAATGCTGATGCAGGCAAGGCTTGTAAAGGAAGAGACAATGCATTCTTGAATAGGAACAGAACAGGCAATATATACAGGCTGTGGTTAATAATTAACCCTGTCTTTTTAGTAAAGTAGATTTTACTTGTGGGAATAGAATTTGGGTGTGAGCTACTCCAACAACGGCTACTGTGTTAGGTCCTATTGAGCCCACAGCTCCATGGGCCACTTCTCTGTCTCTGCTGTGGCGTTAGCGGGAGTTGTGCTACCCAGCTTGCTACTACAGTGCCTCTGAGTCACGTAAACTTCAGTCAGACTGGCTTCTTAGAATGAGCCAGTTACAGCCTGACTGTTTACAGCCTGCTTTGGGTGTAATCAATAGGGCAGTGCCTACAAGTAGATAAATACATAAGATCCACACATACAAATCTAATAAAACATATTGGGGATCTTTATACTGGAAACTAGAAAATGTTGATGAAAATAATGAAGAAAACATCAGTAAATGAAAGATGCCACCTTGGCAGAATGTAAGATTCAGTATGGAAAACACTTTCCAAGCAGACTGATGATTTCATGCAATTCTAATCAAAGTCCACAGTGATTCGTTTCATAGATTTAGAGAAGCCAAGTCTCCAGTTTATATAGAAATCAAAGAAACTGGAAATGTTCAAACAGTTTATAAAAAGAAGTCAGGAAGGGCCGGGGTTTTAGCTCCCTGGCACTGTGCCTGCCTGGCAAGTGCAAGGTCCTGAGTTTGATCCCCGATACCAAAAAAGCAAAACAGAACAAAAACAAAAAGAAGTCAGGAAGAAGAGACTTGCTAACAGCTCTTCAGATTGCTCTGAGCTAAGTAAATCAAGGGCCCTGAATTGATGAAACTCTAGTCACACAAATCAGTGAAATGGAAGAGTCCAGAAACTAAACCCACGCGATGTACGGCCAAGTAATCCTGAGAGACACAAAATCAGCTCGATGCAGAAATGACAACCTTTCCCCTTCTCAAGAGTTGGGTGCCCATCTGCAACCCAACATATCCTAGATCCCATACATCTACAATCTACTGATTTTTGACAAAGGGTCCAAGATTATTCTACTAAATGACTCCAGGACAACTGGATAGTCACAAGGAGAAAAGCTTAAAGATTGCTTGTCAGCTTGGGATCCTTGGATGTCCCCACACAGTAAGAGCCTGTGATGGCTTGGGTATACTATAGTGTGTCCCTCAAAAGGCTCACGAGATGGCAGGCTTTGGGGAAGTGAGTGAATCATGGTGCTACTGGGAGGTGATGATACGGGCTGGGGCTCCGCTGAAGCGTGGACTGAGCCTTCCTCTTGGCCTCTCCTCTCCTTCTTGACAGCCATGAGATGAGCAGCTTTCCTCCCCCACACTCTGCTGCTGTGATGTTCTGCCTGCCTGGGGCCTGAAAGCAATAGAACCAGCCAATCACAGTACTGAACCCTCCAAAATCGTGAGCCAAACCCAACCTTTCCTTGTTTCAGTGGTTTTTCTCATGGCGCAGGCACACTGAAGAAAATGTAGCACAGAGCTCGCAGAGAAGATTGTTGCTCATTATTGGCAGAAGTTCTGAGCACTGGCTTGCTTGTGGTGCTATAACTTGTAGGTATGTCACAATTTGTGGAACTCTACATCAAAATAAGTCAATTTTTCTGTACATTAATCTTAAATGTATAGAACACCTTTTAAAATAACAGAAAATGCACAGGACCTGAGTGTGGGATTCAAGAAGTCATATTATCCTCTTTGTTCTTTTCTTTGTATACCAATTACACATAAAATCATTTATAATAAATCAGACATACAGAAACACAATGCTCTGAACTGCCTGGCAAAGGGGGAGTCACAGCTGTGAAAACCCAGCCCCAGGACTGAGCGTCCTCCTAACAGCACAGAGGGCAGCTGGCCACCACTTGCCACGTCATCAACGCCACCCCGGGACCCTACCCCAACTCCAGTGGGGCTCTGTGCTCACGTGTGCCCCTGCTTCATCCTCCCGCAGTGCTGCATGTCCATGCAGTTCGCCTGCTACTTCACCCACCCTCTGCTGTGTGTTGACATGACTGATTTGTCTTCACTGTCACATGTTCGTGTGTGATCCCACCGCATCCTGGCTCTGGTGTGTATATCACACGCTTATATGGATCTGGCTTCATCCTTCAGTGAGCTGCCTGTTCACATCTACCCTGTTTCATCTTGTGCTCTGTGCTAACATTCTGTCAACCTCTCACTGTGATGTGGTCATGTGTGGTCATGTGCTGTCCTGGCTGTGTGGCGTGCACATGTGATCATTCATCTTGGCACTGTGGGGCATCTTTATGTTGCCCTGTGTCACTCGCTCTGTTTACATGTGATCCTGTGTCATCCTTGCTGCTTTGTGTTCACTATGAACCTGTCTCATCCTCATTCTGTTCCTGTGTGATCCTGTTTCATCCTTGTGCTTTCTTGTGTGTTTATGTTTCACTGTACTTCAGCCTGGCCCTGATGCATGTTCATGTGATCATGTGTCACCTCAGCCCTGTGACAGGTGTTCGTATGTGGTCTTGTCACCCTGGCTGTGACACATGTCCATATACGGTCGTGTCACCCTGGCCCTTGATGCGTGTTCACATGTGATTCCACTTTATCCTCGCTACAGTTCTCCTGTTAAGTTACCCACAAGCACTGTGAGGCGTGGAGCTTTCTGGACACTGAGGGCCACACTCGTCCTCCTGACCTCGCCAGTGCCATGTGGTGTCACGGCCTGGACCCGGTGGCTTGAGTCTGCAGGGCGGCCTAATGGGCTGGCAGGCCTGACCTGGGTCCATCTCACTCTCTGGTGTCTAGAAGGTGCCGAGTCCTGTGCGCTCGGTGCCAGATGCAGGGTGGACAATGAGCGCTGGCTGAAGGACAGGAGGAGGGAGCATGGCGGGCTGAGCAGGGGGAGGATGGAGGAAGGAGCCGTGCAGTTCCTGGGAGTCACCTGCCCTCCCCATCTGTAACTCATCTGCTACAGCAGTGCAAAATAAAAATGACCTAAGGGCATGCAAGGCTCACACATTTATTAGCACTTAGTGCAGTAACTTTCCTTTAAAGGCTTCTGTGGCAGTGTTAGCAACAAATTCATAAAAGCTTAATTTTTATACAAATAGTTTTATTACAAATTTGAATTTTTAAGAAATACACATGTAAAGATATTACAGAAAAGGCCTTAGTAGTCTTGAGAAAGTTTTGGAGACTTTTGGTGAAATGTCATTTCAAGCATAGTGGTCCGAATCTGCCCTCCTGCGACCCTCGCTCCCTGCGGAGTCTGCGAGGCCCAGGCGCGGCCGGAAGCGGAAGTGGCCTGCGCGCGCACCTGAGCAGAAGTACGGACATCGCGCTCCACAGCGCTCTCCTCGCGCGGCGGCGAGAGGGTGCTACTGCACGGAAGGCCTTACTGCCGCTGCTTTTGAAGTCAAGTCGTTCAGTTTGTGGTTAGTGTTTAAAACCCTGAAAGTATTCAACAGAGTCGAAACAATCAGCTCAAAGTGCATGTTCCAAAGGCCCGAGGCCCCGTGCGCACCAACCCGCATCTGCTTTGGGCATCAGTGATTTTTGGTTTGGAAGTGAACGAGGAAAGCTGGTGTTTCACATTTGGTATCGGAGTGTTTAAAAACCTGTGTTAAAGGACAGCACAGTCTTGCAAGAGAACTAGGTAAGCTTTATTTCAACAGTGGAAGTTACACTAGGATTTGACCTGCCTAATTGCTGACGTCTATATAAATTACTAAAATATATATATTTAATTTCTCACTACTTTTGGACCATCTTTATTCCACAGGAAAGTTGGCACTTCTGCCAGAGGAGCTGCGTAGTACCACACAGAGCGGAGAGACACCAATTTGTCTGGGGCTGGAGGGGAAGTGGTTTACTGAGTCTGTCATTGCATTTGGAGGTTTGCGGAGACCGCTTTTACATCGCCATCGTTTGCACAGACCAAGGGACCTGGATTTGGAAACACGAGACGGTGCTCTACAGACATTCCTGTGGGGTGGGAAACTCATCTATTACAACACAAGGCTGAGCAGGGCAGGCGGGCAGGTGGGCGGTGGGTGGCCCCACGCCTCTAGCACCTTGGGGCTCCAACTTCGCACCTCAGTGCAGGATCGGAGCAGGACTGGTATTGTACTCATCACAAGTGCCATCTGGATGCCACTATGGAAAGTTTATCGTTGTCTCTCTTCTCCTTCAGCAAGCAGAGACCAGTGAAGCAGGCGTGTTAGTTACACACATTCCTATAAGGCACTTTGCGGTTTCATACTGGACAGTGAGGTACACAGGATATATTTCTAGGGTTCGTTGCTGTTAAAAATAAAAGAGGAGGCGGCAGCGAGCGGAGGAGGAGGAGGAGTAGCACCATGTTGTGACGGCAGCTGGGTTGGCCCCGTTATGTTCTTCGCATGCACACTTGGCAGCGGCTGACATGCGTACGAAGCTCTCCGGCCTTCAAAGTGGAGGGCGTGGGCTTCCTGCAAGGACACAGGGCTCAGTGCCGGCATCGCCCCCTCCCACAGCCCCAGGGCCCGGCCCTGGCAGGCACCACCAGGCCTGGCTGCCCTGCTCCCTAGGGTAGTGAACTTCTCAGCTCCAGGGGAAGTACTCAGGGAAAGGAGGAGGCATGGCTTTCTCCACCCATTCCACACCCTGCAGGTGCTCAGGAGGACTGCTGGGTGCTGTGCTGAGTAACCAACCCTCCCAGATGAACCAGAGCTCCACACACTTCCTAACCTTTGGGGGAATGGTGAGCAGACGGTCTAGTCTGGGACCAAACTGAGGAAAAGACTCAGGGGCCCAAAACTCCTGTGGATCCTGGAAATTACCTTATTTTGGTGGCTAGCAGGGTGCAACCTGTACTAAAGCTGGTCCTACCCAAATTTTGTTCACAGTGAACTAGCCAGATGTGATTGCCTTCTCCCAAAACTAAAGCTCTTACTCTAGCACCTTTCAAAATGCCAAGTTCCAGCAGCCTCAAATTATGTCAGTCGATGGGATTTTTACCTAATTGTGTTTGAAAAGGTGTTTCACTTCATGGTATCAATGATAATAATCCCATAATACCTCCCTACCGGCCCTGCACACAAACTGGAGTGTCGGGGGGACCCCAGTGTCCCCTCTGAGCTAAGAGTCACCCTCTATGGGTAGATGACATACACCCAGGCGGTGCGAGCGAGCCAGCACGACTCCTTTGTAGAGAAGTACTGGAGTGTGCTACTGGGCCTCACTGGAGAGAGGCAGATTCGCAGGGACATGGAGGTTTTACTCTCCAAAAGCAAGGGGCGGCAGGAGGCTCCTCTCTGGGAGAGAGGAGCGTGAGGAGCTGGCGGGCTCTGTGACCTGCACTGCTGGGGAGTGCGGAGGTCTTGCCTCTGAGGAGCGGCCAGGCCTTGGGCTCAGCGGGGAGCTGTCCCACCTGCATGGGTGTGAGGCCCTGGAGAGTACAACGCCCGGCGCCCTGGACACCAGTGTGTGCCGTCCCCGCGGGGCGCAGCAGGCAGTGTGGGAAACCCTCTTCTGTCTGAAGATGGGCGGCTTCCATCCCATCCCAGGACTTTCACCCACAGGGTGGGGCAGGATCGCCTCTCTCATGGTTCTTTGTGGGGAGAGAGCGGACACAGCCTGTCACCTATGCCTGCCTTGAAGGTGGCCCTGCCGGGGAACAGACTGCATATCCACCGAGCCAGGCAGAGCGGGTGCCTTCGGGGCTGTGATTGACAGAGCTGCTGCGGAACAGCCCACTCACTTGAACATCTCGTTCCTCTCGATGGTGGCGAGCCAGAAGCTGTAAGCATTGGCGTAGTAATTGCAGGTCCCGCGGCCATGGCACTCGATGAAGGGCGCACTTCTGAACTCCTCCAGGCAGGACCCGGGTGATGCCAGGGCTTGGCCGGAGCCCTCGGCACCGGCACTGGTGTGCTGTGGACGGAAGTGACTGTGAGCGGGGGTTCCCGAGATCCCACCGACCCCTCCGCAAAGCCTGTACTCTAGCCCCAAACACCCTCCCGGCTCTGCACAGGACACCGGGCTCAGCCAACAGCGTCCCCTCCCTCTGCCGTGGAATAACGAGGCTCGTGCTCATGCGGGGTCGAATGCAAGGGGCTGGAGGTCAGGAAAACCCTGCTCTGACACGCTCAGCACTTGCATACAGCTAACCAGTGTTTCCCAGTGAAACAGTAAGATAAGCTAGATGAGCCCCTCGAGCAGGTGCCATGTCTCCTGTTTTAAGTGGCTTTTTGGATAAAGGAATTTCTGGTGGTCTGACATCCAGGGGCAGCTGGGTTACACTGTGCGTGGCAAGCTCTAGGTTCCAAGCTGGGAGGATCTCTTTCTCCAGTCACATATTGTATAGCCAGTGCACCAGCCCTTTCTGCCTCTATCCTGAGTCTTCTGCTTTCAAGCTCCTGTGTTGGTAAAACTTGTGTCCCTGTACAAGCTTTTGTCCCTTCCCTGAGGGGGCCCTGACCCTGCAGAAGCCAGTCCTGTGCAAGGTGCTGGAGACCCAGCCAGGCCCACGCATGCCCCAGTGGCACCATCCGGGGACTCTGCAGTGCCGAGGAGTTGGGGGGGGGCACTTCCAGGGGGACTCACCATCACGAAGGAGTAGCCAATCCAAAGCGAGGACCACCCGCTGGGACACTGCGGGATCTGGATGGTCTGGCTGTGCACAGCCATCACCATGGCGGGCGCCTCACACACGGCACATCTGCGGGGAGGCCGGGCTCAGTGGGGAGCAGGACCCTTGCCTCACCCTGACCCCGCTCCCTGACCCCATGGCCATGGTGCCCACCGCAGGGCTCATGGGTACCACCTCTGTGGGTGTCTCTATGAGGTGCAGACCGGAAACCAGAGTCAGGCTGAAGAGGAACGAGGGGTTCCCACTTCCACAAAGCTCAACAGTTTGCAGCCAGCTTGCATGGTCTTTCAGAGAGGCAGACCCTTTGGGCCCAAGTCACAGTTTTCCTGCTCCAGCCGCAGCCCTGTTCACCCCTACCCCCAAGCCAGGCTGACTTCACCCCAAGACAAGGTCCCCGGGCCAGGCCAGAGGGCTCTGAGGCCAGAAAGTGCCAGGGGCAGAAACACCAGTAGTGCCATTCTGAGCCCGAGCCTCAGCAGAAGCAATGTCAGCCACGCTGGGGAACGGGCGTAGACTGGCTCCTAATGCTTCTCCTGGCTCTGCAGGACGCCCATGTGAGCTGAGACAGCAGGCGGCCCACGTCTCCGTCCACCTCCCTGACTTCCTGGGTTTCTGCCTCACTCACACAAATGCACGCAAATTCAAAGGCCCAGGTAAGCCCCAGTCACTGAAATGGGCTGCATCTGCCCACCGCCGTCCGCGGCTGACAGAGGAGGAAAGGCCGGGCACAGCGCCCTCCATCTGCCCAGCTGCCCCAGTGCCCACTGGCCCAAGAAGCTGCCTCTGGGTGTGTTCAGCTGGGTCCCAAAGCCCAGGCCTCTCATCCCTGTGTTCTCTACGGAGAAACGAAGGCCCTGCTGAGCGTCCAGGCCAGGCCAGACCCCAGGCCCTCCCCTCGGGCACTGTTCTAGCCTTGTCACCATCCTGTGGACAGACAGAGTTGTTGGGACTGGGCAGCGGCTGCCTCTGGCTGTTTCTGAGATTAAGCTCTGGGGCACCCCCAGCTGGAAGCCCCGGAAGGAACCTGTGAGCCCACCGGAAGCCGGAGGTTAAGTGCACGCAGGGCCCAAGTCTGCCCCCAGTCGAGCCAAGGTCAGTGGCATCAAGAAAGTATAGAGGAAAGGGATAAATAAATAACTTGTCTACCTGTTGTCCAAGGAAAGCTAAAAGAGAAACCCACAGAAGGCGTTAGTTTGCAGTGTAGCACATGAGGATCCGTGCATTCTAGGAGGGAAGAGGGGGACACTTTCCCGTGTGAGAGCCACGGAACCATTCTCTGACGGCCGGGCCAGCACCCCAATCTGCCCCCAACAGGGTGCTCACAGAGGGAAGGGACAGGGTGCATGGGGGCCACTCCTTCCCGCCATGGAGTACAGGGCCCTTCCAGGGACTCTTCACTGTCCAGAGCTGCTCGGGAGCCAGGCCTGATGGCACACATTGTAATCCCAGCACTCTGGGAGGCTGAGGCAGGAGGATCATAGTTTGAGCCCGGCCTGGGCACCTTAGCCATTTAGGGATCCGAGCCTCAAGGGTGGGGGCTATAAAGAAGGATAAATTGAGTCATTTGAAGGAAAATGGATGAAACTTGAGAGCCTAATGTTAGTTTTAAAAAAATCAGACACAGCTTAAATGTCACGTCTTCTCTTACATGAGAAACTCAAAGTGTAAATGAAGCATGAAACAAAAGAGAGAGAACAGGAAGCAGGGAGAAGGAGCTTTCTAAGTGGGGAGGGGACCAAGCCATGGAGGAAGACTGAAGCTGGGTTAGGTACCCGCACCGGAGCCCATGAGGATGCGACTGCTGTGTACTGCAAAGTGCTAGAAAAATAGGAGTGGGATTGGCTCAGTGCAAAGGCCCTGGGTCAAACACAATCCCCAGTACTACGCACATGCGCACGCACCCGTACACCAGCACGCACACAAAGCTGCCAACATCTTTAAAGCCAACACACAACTGCTCAGCTCTTTATCAACTCAGCTCCCTAAGGAAAACTGTGCCTGACCACCTGTCCTTTCTGTCCTTGGTTACCACAGTTCCTAAAAAGGAAAATGATGGAATAAATTCTTGGTCAAATGGAAGCGTCCATTCGCCACTTTTCTGTTACTTCTGAGTCCAGCCAAGCACAACTCTGCATGCGATGGGTGGGAAAGGCCACCACCGGGCAGTCGTGTACCTGCAGCCCCCTCTCCCTGCCTGCCTGAAACCGCTCCAGACTCCACAGCGGCGGGCCAGCGCTCCATCTGGGACTCACCCATGTGCATTCCCGGCTGATCCGGGACCAAAACTGTGGAAAACTCTCGCCGCTGTGTGACATCGGGACGGCTGCTGTTAAAACACAGGGGCTAAGAAGTGCTGGCGTCGGGTGGAGAGCCCAGAGCCAGGCGCACTGTTGGTGGGGACAGAGCCATCCCGTGGGGAGCAGCGAGGAAGCTTCCCAAAAAGGAAAAGCAGACTTCCAGTAAGTCGGTTCTGCTGCAGCTGGGTCTAAGCCACAGGAAGGAAAGCAGTCTGGGCTGTGCAGCCGCGACCCCAGCAGCACACCACAAGGAGGGAGCTCAGAGCGGGCGAGTGAGCGGGATGGTACGGCACACGCATCGGGGGTGACACCCGGCCGTGAGGGAGCAGGGACTCCGCACCCCGGCACCACGGACGAGCCCGGGACTGCAACTGAGGGAAGGAACCAGTGACAGAGGGCAGAGCCCGTCCGACCACACACTGAGTACCCAGTGCTCCAACCCAGACCAGGCGCAGAGCAGGGCCAGCAGGAGGGCGGGGCGCGAGTCTTCCTGGGATGAAAGACGGGGCCTCCTGCCTTGAGCTGTGCATGCCGGCATGGCTAGGACGGTACACTTCCTCTCGCTTCCTCTCTGGTACCTGGGATCAACATGGCTGCTGAGAGGGTCCCAGGCCTCCCTCTTTTGTTTTTTATTTTGAGACAGGGTCTCACTAAGCTGCTCAGGTGGACCTGAATTTCCACTCCTCCTGCCTCAGCCTCCCAGAGTGCTGGGATTGTAGGCATGCACCACTCCGGCAGGCTTACATTAAATGGTGATATTTTATTACACTAGAAATAATTTCATTTTTAAAGAAAATTTTCAGAAGCAAGCGTGATTCCCTCTCCCCATAAAAAACGTCTTCTGAGGCTTTTTATAAAGCTTATTATAAAAAGAAGGAAAGAGGGAGGGAGGGAAGAGGAGGGAAAGAGACATTTAGAGGTGCTGTCGCACTAAGAGGTGCAGAAGAGTCCAGCAACATCCCCTCACTCCCAACAACAACCCCCATATAAAATGAGAATTCCAGCCAGGTATGGCAGTTCCAACTGTAATCCCCCCACTCAGGAGGCTGAGGCAGGAGGATCACTGTGAGTGCAAAGCCAGCCTGAACTACAAAGTGAGACTGTCCCAAAAGGAAAGAAAAACAAAAAAGTGTTCTTAAGTCTCGGGTGGCTTTGCACTA